AGTAAAGGAACCTGCATAGAACCACTGAATAGTACATCAAGAAGTTGTCTAGTGAATGGACAAAGAACAAACAAATGCTCCCTACTGTCTATCCCTCCACCACAAAAAAACACAAGTCAAAGGCCCACTGTATCCCCATTTCTGCATTCTGTCCTTTGTATGAATGCTACCCCTGACAACCAACCAAGTAATGATCCGGTTTCGTGGGATAGCTTTACCCTTCCAAACTATCTTCCACCAGTCCACCTTCTGCTGAGTTGGTCTAAGGAGATGCCACACTCTTTTAATAGAAAACCGAGGCATAGGAAGATCATTAAGAAGTAAGATATCATTCCTACTCGAGATGAATGGAGATACCTTATTTCTTAACTTGAGGATCTTACGCCAATTCCAAGACCCCGAGGTGCAGGTGTAATTCCAGAATCATCTGCCTTTCAGTTTATATCGATTAATCCAAGCAACCCACAGAGATCCCTCTTGCAGCAAAATTAACCAAATATGCCTTATCATGCAGGCCTGATTCTAGTTACTCATATCCCTGAATCACAAGCCTCCTTCCTTCTTTGGATAAGTAACTTTCCCCCAGACTACATTTGCCCTGAGTTTAACACCTCTGTCCACTCCCCAGACAAAGTTACTGCAGATTCTTTCCACTTCTTTAATCACAACATTAGGGAGGAGAAAGACAGACATCCAAAATTGAGTTAAACTGTATAAAACAGTTCTAAACAATTCAATTCTTCCAGCATAAGAGAGAGTTTTAGCTTTCCAACATGTGATCCGAGCAACAATTTTGTCTATAAGTGGTTTGCAAGCAGCCAAACTTAACTTGGCATATATTAGGGGTACCCCTAAATATCTAACAGGGAAATGTCCTAACTGATAGCCATATCGTTCAGCCCTCACTACCCTTTCTTCTTGAGGAAGACCCCCAAAGTAGATCTCACACTTACTAGGGTTAGACTTCAATCCATAAATTTTCTTAAACTGGTATAGAATTCGTTGCAATTCCTGAATTCCATAGTTTGAAGCATCCATAAAGACCAAAAGGTCATCAGCAAAACAAAGGTGAGTGAGCTTAATCCCTTTACACATTGGATTAGGGAAAACGACCAACAGAGGCTGACTAGTCAATCAGGCATGAAAATATATCCATGGCAACTGAGAATAAGTAAGGAGACAGGGGGTCACCCTGTCTAAACCCTTTCTTTGCTAGAAAGTATCCAACCAAACCTCCATTAAAACAAACACTCAGCATAGGGGTGCCCACACACATTCTAATCCAACTCACAAACCTTTCAGGGAGCCCCATACACTTAAGAACTTGGAAAATGAAGTTCCAATCAACCGAATCAAAGGCCTTCATGAGGTCAATCAAAGCACATCTAGGGGAGATATTGTTATGGGAATATCTACTTACAAGCTCATGAGCCATTAAAATGTTCTCACCTATAAGTCTTCCTATAACAAAAGTCGTTTGGTTTTTACTTATCAAAGAAGGAAGCAGATGACTTAGCCTATTAGCTATGAGTTTTGAAATACACTTATAGAGAATATTACAGCAAGATATGGGTCTAAAATTCTTCATATCATCAGGGTTTGGAACTTTAGGAATCAATGACAGAATGGTAGCATTAACTGGCCTAGGGACACTATCTTGTTCAAAGCAGAATAGAATAGCAGCTGTTACCTTAGGGCCAATCAATGGTTAAGCATAGTGAAAGAAAGCCGCAGAGAAGCCATCAGGTCCAGGACTTTTATCTCCATCAATACCAAAAAGCACTTCCTTAATCTACTTAGCAGGGAAGGGATCGCAGATGCCAGCAATCTGATCACCCGTCAAGCTTCCATTTTAACAATCTAGTGATGTAGTCATCAGTTTGAGCCTCAACCTCAGGATCAGCCACTCCAAGTAATATTTTATAAAATCTTACTGCAATCTGGGACATTTCATCTACATCCTGAATTTTATCTCCCTGTTCATTCTTTAGAACTCTTATAGTACTCCTCTTCTGCCTCGAGCGAATAGACCTATGAAAATATGCTGAGTTCATATCTCCTGTCTTCAACCAGGATTCTCTTGATTTTTGTCGAAGAAAAGACTCTTCTGCATCAGCCAAAACCTTTAACTCCTGCTCCATCCTCTTCACGTTTACAAAATTGTCACTAGATGGATCAGTCAGCGCCTGCTGTTAAATGGCTTCAGGAGAGATTTCAGAGAAGCATTGGTGTCCACATATAAAGGACAATGATCAGAAAATCCAGGTGCTTGGATATGAACTTTACTATCCTTTATCTGATCCAACCAAGCAAAGTTAACAAGCACCCTGTCAAGTCTTTTAGCAATCGGGTTAGCTGCTTGCTTGTTAAGCCAAGTAAACCAGGGTCAAGATCATTTATCCAGTCATGGAACACAATCATACTAGCATCCAATCTGTGCGAATTCGAAGCCTCTGAGGGGTTTTAATGTCATTAAAGTCCCCTAAGACAATCCATGGAACATTAACCACCTTAATCCCTCGTAATTCGTTATACAGCATTCACCTTGCATTATCCTCATTTGAAGCATACACAACAGTGCCAAAAAAAGTTTGCGAGCCACCTACCATAAACTGAACATATTGATTTGAAGAGTGAAGTACAATGAGTTGTACATCCTTTCTCCAGAGCAACCAAATCTTCCCCAGCCCGTTTGAATTGTGTTTTATCTTCTTCTCCCAATCTGGGAATCTCTTTTCAACCAAGGTATCTGTCTTAGAGGATCTTATTCTAGGCTCTAGTATACCTTCTGCTTTAAACTATCGTGTATTCCATACAAGATTTTCATCTTTTACCCCTTCCCTTTCCACCCTTACCTCCTCTCTTTGGTTGAATAGGAACCAAAGGAGAATCGACCCAGATATTCTTTCCTTTATCAACAGGAGGTTGCACATTTTCCTTCCCTTTCCCAGTCCTATCTCCTTGAGGTAACTGAGGTCGTAAGCTCCCAGTTTCCGGTGACTTACCACCTACAGTACACTGCCCATCAGTACTTGGACTCCCACCCGTAGGAGGTGATCCCATTACTATCTGGGCAAAACTCAGAGTAGTGCTCCCATTGGAAGAAGGAGCTTGGACATTATCCACATTTACTACCTTCTGTATTGTCTCACAATTCTCCACCGTCTCTGATGTAACAACAATGACAGGATTCTCATTTCCACCCTTATCCGCACTTACATCAGCAGAGCCAGTAATCAATTCCACAACAGCTACAGAGGATATCATTTGAACAGTAGAGTCTTCAACCACTGGATCAGCCTTCTGCGCCTCAACATTCACTGACTCTCTGACTCGCCATTGTTTGACAGGTTCCTGGTGGCAAATATGCCCAAACAAACAACACTTCGTTAAAGAAATGGCCAACAGAAGAGGCCATCCATTGCCGACCCCGACCTAGAAATGGCTCACAGAAGAGGCCATCCACACCCGTCGTCCTCCACCATGTCAATCGAACAAGATAATTTGACAGGGAACAATGCAATCGGGTCTGCTGCTTCCACTATTGCATCATAAGCCAACCTGCTCCCTATTATATTAGGATTTTGCATAGAGTCAGGGTTGTGGGAGACGCGGAGAACAGGGGAGTGGTCATTCTAGGAATTGTTTTGGAGATTGTTACTGGCCAGGGTGCATCCTAATGTGGCTGGGTGGATGGTGCCGTTAGTGAATAAGGGAGATGGGTGTAAGCGAAGACGAGTAAAAGGAACGGTGGTGGATTTCAGGGAGGAAGGATCCCCGCAAAGGGTGTTTGGAGAGGAGGTCGGGCGGTGTTAAAGGAGTTTTAGGAATTTTAAGACTTTTTTTGTTTTATTTAGGGGTAATACTTTATTTTGGCCCGAATTTGGCCCATGGTTTCAGAAATTAACATTCTAGTCTCGACTATGCAACATATAAACTCAATTGGCCCGACACATGGTTTGACCTTCAATTTGGACGCTCAACAACGTTGACTCTTAGTCAACATGCCATTTCATTGCCTCATCAGCCTAAAAATCATTAAAAATTTTCAAATTCAAATTTATTTTCCTAATTTCTATTATTTATTAATTTTAAATTAACCAAAAAATAAAGTTTTAAAAAATAGAAAATAATTTTTATTTTTTATTTTTGGGATATTTGAAAATGATAAATTTTATAAATTAACCAAAAATTATCAAATTAAATTTTATAAATTTAAAAAATATATAATAAATATTGTATTTTATTTTATGGGAAATTTATAAAGTATAAAATAATTTTATATTTTTTTATTAATTGATAAAATTTATCATTTTCAAATTACCCATAAAATAAATAATAAATTTATTTTATATTTTTATAATTTATATTTTGATTAATTTGATAATTATAAATAATAATAATTAGGAATATAATTTGAATTTCTGAGTCAAACCATGCGTCGGGCCAATTGAGTTTATATGTTGCATAGTTGAGGCTAAGATGTTAATTTCTGAAACCACAGGTCAAGTTGATTATATGGTTATAGTTCAGGCCAAAATAAGGTATTAAACCTTTTATTTAATTAGATTTTGGTTAGTGATGGACAATTTAGTAAATTTATGTCTTAAGTTAGGACAATATTAGTAAACCTAGGGCGACATTTAACCAGTAAGCGAACAATTGAAATCCATTTTCCATGTGGTCCGCTGCAAAAGCGCGACATCCATATATCTTTTTTTTTTTTGTAAAAAGACTAACACCATCGGCATCTAACTCGTATTAATAACAGCTCGATCCATGGTAACACCCATGGAATCGTCATTGAGACAATAACAAAGGTTGGGGTCGCTCACATCGAAGAGATTTGTGCCAAAATTAACAGAATGTCCCCTATTTGCAAGGAAATCAGCAACATAGTTACTTTCTCTAAAAATATGGTTAATGCTGATATCCCAATTTCTCTCCAAAAGAGTCCCTATTTGTGTCGCAAGCAACCCATGTACATGGTCGCTGTTCTTCTATGTCTTGATGATGTTAATGGTAGTTGAAGAGTCCAAGTTCAACTCAACTTTCCTGTACCCTTTGTGCCAGGCAAGTTCCAAACCCTCGGCTGCACCCTTCAGCTCGGCTCTTGTTATCGAGCAGACTCCAAGGTTGCAGGTGAAGGCTCCCTCGCATCTTCCCATGTGATTACGCAAAAGCCCACCTGCAACAGCAGCTCCAGTCTGAGAGATAACAAATCCATCTGTTTGGATTTGAATACATCCATGTCTTGGTACTTTCCAACCAATCTGTTGCACTCGCTTGTTAGGCAGAATGCTTCGAGTAGCATTATCGCGAGCTTGCCTGTTGATTTCAATCCACAAAAGGATTATGTGAATGACTCCTTCCGAAAATCTCTCCCCTTCCATGGCTTACTCATTCCTCTACTTCCAGATAATCCAGCAAATGAGCCCAAAATCAGTCCATGTGTTCTCGTCCATAAGGTTCTTGTTGAGCCAAGATTCGAACTCAACATTGTTGTTCTTCTCCTTCACTTTATCCTGGAAACGATTCCATATTCCTCTAATTTTGTTGCATCCAAGGAGAATACGTTCCACTGTTTCTTTTGTTCCACTGCGGTGTGCGTAGTCTCCGTTGTTGATAAGCTTCCTCTTCTCTCTTTCTTTGTTTGCGAGAAGTCTTCTGTGAGACACCAGCCACAGAAAATGCTTCACTCTACTTGGTCCACTCCGTCTTCAAAGATCCTTCCATATCTTGTCAGATTCGTTGTTCAGGTTCCCTATTGCCAGGTTGTAGGCTAACTTCAGATGAAATCTCTCATATTTCTTGATGCCCCAGAGTGTAGTGTCCTCCCCCATTCTCGGTTTAGGCACTTCTTTCCCTGCAATTTGCAGAAGGATCTCATTAGGGAGATAGAGGTAAATCCATCCCCAGTCCCATTCACCTCGATGGTCAGTCCAGTCCGCAACTAAGGATGCTCAATCCGCCTCGGTAAGCTCCTTCATTGAGTAGTTCTCTAGTGCAACTCCATTATCCAACCAGGGATGGGTACAAAATCCGGTAGTTTGTCCATCCCTAACACTCCAAACATTGGCCTATTTCATCAGGGGCATCGCCTTGACAATTGCTTTCCATAGCCTTGAGTGATTGCTTTTTTTCATAGAGTTGATGTTTCCTTCCTTGTGGTGGAAATATTTTCCTTGAAAAGCCTGCACCCACATATCATTCCCATTATTCAGAACCTACCAGGCGAGCTTAATCCCCCCCCCCCCCGGTCTTTTGGTTTACAGATAGTATCCCAATTGATCAAGTGAACTTTTCTCTTCCCAAGGTGGCTCCCTCAAATGAAACTCCTAATCTTACAGTCAATTGCATCACAGACAGAAGCAGGCAGCACAGAAGTTTGCATAGCATAGGATGAGATGGCATTCAACACATCAACTGTAAGTATAACTCTACCCGCTAAAGATAGACTTCTAGCTTTCCATCCCGAGAGTTTCTGGTCAATTTTGTCCAAAATATATCTATAGGTGTGATGAGGGCATCAAAGGGCTAGTCACACGTTCTAAGGCAAAGGAGATGAGAGACAAGTTTGCAACGTATTTGGGTTGTTATTTTGCAAGCATGGACGTAGAGCTATTCAAGTACAAGCCCTTTATGATGTTTCAAGTTGTGGAGGAAGAAGGAAGTCCTGAAGAGATGGCAGAATGCGAGAAGAAGGCTTAACAAGTTGTTTTTGCTTAGTGGGTTTTTTCTACTTAATGGGGTTTTTTCTAGCTTAACGGGTTGTTTATGTTTTAAGTCGGTTTACTTTGATGTTGTCCTTGTCATGTTCGGATTTGGGTTGTATGGGGCCTATTTAAAGGGCTGAACTCGTTGGTTTGGAGGATAGACTATTATTATCAAATTTCAAAAAGCTTTTGTTTGTTCCCTTTGTGGACTTTTCCCTAAATACTCTATTGGGGATTCTGGAGTGTTACAACGACTCTTATCAACTAGGTATACACCCTAGTTGTGGCGAGCTACTCATATCAATTGCCCTGAATTCCGAGTTGAGATTGTTCGATCGATTCTTATCGATTGTCCCTTTCACGAGTAAATTATGTCCGATTGATTTCCATCCTATCTTGGTTCTATCTTTTGGTTTGAATTGCTTGAGTTGTGCGAATTTGATTGTATAAAGTGGTATCAGGAGTCCTGTTCAAACTCAACGGCGAAAAATTCCTGAAGGTATTTTGTCTTTCATTATTTTCTAGGAAAAAAATTTAGTTATTTGTTTTTGTTTTCGTGCACGTAACTAAAACATAACTTTTGTTTTTTTCTTAGTTTTCCCCCCTTCTTTCTTATACGTGAGTAACAAAGGAAAGTGGGAAAAAATCAATTTGTTGCTTTTTTTCGTTAGGTTATGTGTGACACCTTAGGCGAATCTCACATCGACAAAGCACGGGAGAGATCCATGGTTCATAAGTAAGAAACCGACCTTAACTGACAAGATGCGTTTTGGGGTGAAATAATGGAGATCTTGTGAGAACTCCGAAGTTAAACGTGCTCAGTGTGGAGTGCAACAAGAATGGGTGACCTTTATGGGAAGTTACCTTGAATTGCACCCCAAATCGAAAACTGTGAGGGTCAAGCCCAAAGCGGACAACACTTGTAACATCCCGGACCTTTCTTGACGAATATATTGTCCGCTTTGGGCCTTGACCCTCACGGTTTTCGACTTGGGGTGCAATTCAAGGTGACTTCCCATAAATGTCACCCATCCTTGATGCACTCCACACTGAGTACGTTTAACTTCGGAGTTATCACAAGATCTCCTCCATTTCACCCCAAAACGCGTCTTGTTAGTTAAGGTCGGTTTTTTACTTATGAACCATGGATCTCTCCCGTGCTTTGTCGATGTGGGATTCGCCTAAAGTGTTACATTAAGTGAGTAGATAAAAAAACTATTTTTTCATTTGTTGTAGCGGTCCACGTGAGTAGTTAAAAAGTATAGAAAAGTCAAAACAAAAGATTTGTTATACAACCACAAAGCTGTACGTGGGACAAAAGAAAAAAATATTGTGTGGTTTGGTTTTGGCTTTGTGGTTATTGTTAGTTTTTGAAAGGCAAAATACACTTACATAGCCAAAACTTTCGCGTTTGTGACAATAATAGTCAATTTTTGCGAAATACCACTAATAGCCATTTCCTTCCAATACTATCTAACAGAATGACTGGACTAACAACAACGATTGACGTGACATATTTTATTGGAAAATAATGAAAGGTGGAAAATTATTAAAGTTTTATCCTTTAATTTTAATTAAATTAAATAAAAAATTATAAAAAGCAATAAATTCATTAAAAAATATTAAAAAAACAATAATCCCGACTCTCCTCCACCGCACCGCCTCTTCACCTTCCCATCTTCAAAATCGGTGCCGCTATTCTCTCTTCTCTCTGATTTCTTCATCTCCATCAATGAAAAGCAAACACAAAGATTCCTTTCTTGTTCCCAGAAAGATGACAACCCACAAACAAAACCCTTTCTTCTTCGCTCACCTTTATCAACTTCTTTCTCTTTCAAAAACGCCCAGATCCTTTCTATAAAAAAATGTCCAAATCCGCGAATCAATTCTTCTTCCCTTCTCTGAGTCAGAGTGTGGTTCGGGTTGGACGGGGATGGGAAATCGGAATTGGCGGAGCCGGGGCTCGAATCTATGGAGAACAAGAACCAGTGGCGAAGATAATGCTTGAATCGAGAGAGAAAGAGGCTAGCTATCAATCAGATCTGGTCGATTTTTGTGTTGATTTTAGGGGTGCTTCAACAATGTAAGATTAGAGGAAAGGTCGATTTTTTTTTTGATTTTGGGAAGCTTCAACGATGGAGGACGACGATGAACGGTAGGGGAAAATTGCACCTCAAGCAAGATGAAGAATAAGAGGAAGTTGGGTACGTCTATCTTGAAGAAGAAGAAAAAGAAGAAGAAGGGAGGGATCTAGTTTGAAGTGGGTTGTTTGGGAAAGAAAAAGGGATCGTGGTTTGAAGATGGAATAGAAAAAGGGATCTGTTTTGAAGTGGGATTTTTGGGAAAGAAGGGATCGAGGGTTAATCGCATGGTTGGTCACTGAGATTGCAAAAAACGTTCAAGTTTGGTCACTCGAAATATTTAAATCCATTGGTGGTACTTCAATTTACTGAAATCGTTCACGTTTGGTCACTCTCCGTCCAACTCCGTTAACTTTTGCTTACGTGGCAGTCAACTTTAAAAATTGACCGTTAACTGAGTGATGTGGCAATTAAAAATTTAATAAAATAATAAAAATTAATATTTTATAATTTTCACCTCATTTCTAACTATTAAAAAGATAAAAATAAAATCATAAATTATTAAAATTAAAATATTAATTTTTATTAGTTTAAAATATTCCATTTCCATCAAACATTCCATTTCCTATATCCATTCCTCCGCTTCCTGCATTATCAATCAATTGCACCACAGCAGCAAATCATCATCCTTCTCAAACGGCTCCACCACAGCCACAAATCATCATCCGCCAAAAAATAGAGTCGAATCACCCCGCCAAAAAACATAGCAACGCCGGTGGCGGAGGCGACATCCGCCCCCACAAACCACTCGCCCATCTTCTCCAAGCTCCCTACACGGCCGCGCCGAGATCCTCAAGTACAGAGAGTTCGCCTCCGCCACCTACACCGCCTTCACCTTCGACTTCGACCCTCTCTCCGAGTTCGCCTCCTCAGACTCCCTTTCTCCATTCGGTAATCGAAACCCAACACTGGCAACGAATCTTATTCTTCCTCCGCCTCGCTATTCGGAGCGAATTTGAGAACCGATCTAAGGCGGCACTCATCTCGAAGAACTGCTCCGACGAAGAAGATGAGTCTGAGGAGGAAGATGTCGAGAACAGTCGGGAAGAGGAAGGGAATAGGGGTTTCGGTTAATTCAACCCAATCCCCACTTCTCCACCGCCAAATTCAACAACAACCCACGATCCTCCTTCACGATGCAATCGCTCTTTACCGGAATCGTGGAAGAATTGGGGGGGGGGGGGAATTCAAGTGGCTGGGAGTGGGGACAAACGGAGACGGCATCGGATTCGAGCTCCAGATCCGAGTGAAAACGGTAGTCAGCCTCGACGACATCACCAATCAACGGTACATACCTGACGGTTGATAGAG